CTAACTCTTTTCCAGTCAAACGCGAAGTCTTACTAGTACCTCTTCATAAGGCTCCCTTACGTGTGTACATCTTTCCATCCCCACTGCTACAATCCCAGTCATTGTCATCTGTCACCTGGATTATTAGTTCAATAGCCTCCCTTCTGGCTACCTGATTCCCTACAACCACTCTTCTCAAGGTTGCCAGGGTGATTTTTTTTATAAATACGTATCAAAGAATGTTAAGAGGAAAGATGAAAACTAATCAAGTTGTGCACAAGACTAATATTTGTTACCTTCCCTAATAAGTTTTCTTCAGCCAATTAAATAGTTCCCACTGGGTAAGGGCTCCTTTACCCACATAGCTTTTGTTCTCATAATAAAACACAACTTAATGTTCATTATTAGCCAGTATCACAACTTTCTTTTTCTAGGAATCCTGCACTGTCTCCACTTTTAGTTACCAAGACATCTTAAACAGCACAGCAGACTTTCTTATGAAAGGTTACAAAACAAAACAAATAGCACTTTCTTCATGAAGGTTAAGACAATGGGGGAATCACCTCTAATAATGTAATGTCTCCATTATCGGACAGTCCTCATTACAGAATCTATTCATTATATACAAATAGTTTTTTTAAACACAAAAACTATAGCTTGGAATTTATAAATAATAAATATAAACAATATAAATATATTTCAGGTCATTAAGGACCATAGAAAATATTTTGTGGCATGTTTTGTGCACCTAATTTTGTATACTTTATACATGCCATTTGTTGTTTTAAAGTGTTCCAGATTAACTCGTAGTGAGAGCCATTTTTCTTAGTTCCACAATTTTGTGATTCGATGACATTGAAAAGATTGATTTCATGTCCATCTTCAGTTACATATAGCATTGGGAAATTTTCAGAAGACTCAATGGCAAAACATTTACATTATTTATATTGAATACCATACTACAGACTGACTAAAGTAGTAATTTTTATATAGCCAAAATAATCAACAATTCAGGTTAAAAGTACATTTTCTGAAGGCTGTTTACACCTTAGCCTTGAATCATAATTCAGAATAGCTAAGCATGTGCCACAGCACAGGACCTGTTCAATATCAGGGGAAACCTGATCTTTACTAGGAGAAAAGACACAACTATTAAATACTGTCTTCGGATATTATCACTTTTGTAGAGTTCTATCTGTGCCTTGTAAACTGTGTACTGTGCAAATTATCATGTAGCTAATTAAGAACAAGTTCTGATGTGCAAATTAAAATAGAATCAAAGGACACTATTCATCATACAAAATACTTTGTTACATTCTTATTTAGTAATTGCAGGACAATATTCTGAACTCTGATAAAATGAGTTTTGAAGTGAGAAAAGAAAACCACTAAATGAGGGAAAATTATACATTAGTATACTATTCTTTTAAAGACAAATATTAATGATTTGAGCCATACACATAATATTCCCTTTAGTAGTAGATACCAGGTTGTAGGTATTAGCTAGATTGATTGACTTATTAAACAATTTCTACAACATCATGAGAAAAATGGTATAGATGAATAATACAAATACTATTTGTATATTAAGCCTGATCAGACCAGTGGAAGGTTAAAAATCTCCACATAAATAATATCAGTAACGATAAAAGGAAAATTAGATAATATGAAATCTAAATAGTGATGGTCACCTATAAAGCACCTGTAAACTCTAATTAGGTTTTCCAAGTTAGATCATTTTTTAATAGTTCCTATAACATATAAAATGCCTATGATGTCATTCAAACATTGTCCAATTGTCATTAAGATTGTTAGGATGAAGCTCTTATAATTTGCATGAAGATCAAATCTCTCCATTAGCCCATTAGTACCACTGTGCAACGGAGAAGGGAAAAAAAATGCTCCCTTCTCAAGGCTCTTTACTTCCATCTCTCAGAAATTTGACATACTGATTTTGTTAGAACAAGGCACTTTATTGCCATCTACTGAAAAACTTTCATAATAAATATACAAGTCTGTGACGACTAAATCCTCCCTGATGTGCAGCACTGTACACGGCACAGCCTGGAAAACAGGTACCGGTAGCCTTGTCTGTACCATTCTCAGTAGCGGACACCATTCCTCCTACCAAACTTGAAAAAGTCCTCAGTCTAAAACATTATAAACTACAATCCAGTTAAGTCTTCACACTAACAGGTATTTACATTAAAAAGCTTATATCTAGAATGTATAATATCAGCAGGATCATTACCAAGTGTGTAAAGAAAAAGTTCTTTTAAGGGTAATAACAACCAACTTCAGTTTTAAAAGTTAAAAATCCCCCCCCAAAAAATCCTTATATTTTAACTTACATTTCAAAGTTTAAAATAAACCCACAAATGTTTGCTTAGAGTTAGTGTTATAAGGTTTAGAAGGCATTCTACTCAATAACAAAGGATTGACACCTATTTTATAAAACATTCTCATAATACTTTCTTACTGTAACAACATTCGAGATACTCCCTTAGATACCAAATCAATGTCACAACTCTGAATATTCAGATTCTCAGAGATCTGATAATCAAACAAATATTGTGACATGTTTTCCAATTGCCTAAATTGGCTCTTAAAGGCTAAACTAACCAAATGAATAAATCAAGAGAAAAGTTTTAGCTAAGATACTTGGTATACTACCTTATCCTCTGCTATATGCAGAAGGTAACCTTTCTTTACAAGTCATTCATTTTAGATTTGAAAATTCCAGGAATTTATTCTTCTGCTTATTTTAGATGGAACCATTTCCTTCCTCCAATTTTAATCATGCAAAAGTAACCATATATCCTAGTTTTCCAGAGACAGTTCTGATATATGGCTCTTGGCCCAATACAACGATTAGTAGTGCCCTCTTTTCTGTTTCAAAGTGTCCCATTTCATACATTTTAACCATGACCCATTCTTACTAAACAATTACAAATTCTGCAAGATGAAATCTGGACTCAATACACATGCTTAGCAAAAACTGAGATTAAAAACAAAAGTTATAACAAAGTTACCAGAAAAAGACTAGGTAAATTGTGATGTATAACAGTTTATCCATTTTAAATGATTCAGGCTTTACAACAAGATAAATTAGAAATATGCAATTACATTTTTAGAGCTCATTCTAATTGCATCAGCCACCCTTTAATAGAAGTACAAATAAATGTTTTATGTGTATTTTCTTCTCCAAGAGTTTCTATCTTCAATTGCTTTCATTTGTATGCATCAAGTCCATAAATTATTTAGCATCTCCCCTTTCTTCTGTACGAAATAATCATTTGGGATTAAAAAGTATTAAACTACCACAAAAAGACTGTTTGACATTGTTATTGCCCTTTTGCTACTATATATTAACAAAAACCAAAGTTTAGAGCAATGTTTTTATAATGTAACATTCTACGACATTTTTTTTTTTAATTTACTGAGCCTCATGGAAATAAACCTCATTTCTTTAAAAGAAATGAAAATTTTTGGACATGCCAATTAGTCCTACTGCAGTTTCAGAAAAAGTATTAGCTCACATGTAGTCATTCAACAATATCCCTTATATTCAAACTATTAAAATATGAAATATCTCGATTTCACAAGGCCCAATTAGAGTCCACTTTAGTTTCTTGTTAGACATAGTAATGAAATCTCACAGGCTCTTACAAGGTGGCAGCTGTACACAGGGCATGTTTTACGCTTAAAAAGATTTTATAATTCCTCAGCTATATATATGGTTTGCCGGTAACATCACTTCTACAGGTAAGACTGACCATTTCGCATTTCTGTTACGACCAACATAAATGAAGGTAGGGGAACCAAAATGTTTAAAAAACCATATCTATTTTCATTTTTTAAAAACAATAACATTTTTTTCCAAAAAAAAAAGACATTAGGCTACTCCTTTTAAAGTTTAAGTTCCATCATCTTCATATATAAGCATACCTGGATATGAGATTTTTAAAAACCACACATACACACAAGCTCTAGGTAGAGCTGTAATAAACAAATTCCTTTTATAAACAAAATTTTAACTGAAAAGCCACAGTAGATGAAAAAAAAAAAAGAAGCAAGGATATTACTTGGTAAAATCCAGTGACATCTACAATAGTTTTACAGCACATTTAAGCATTCTAGGGTTTTATATCTTCACCTGCCTTCCATTTCTTAATTGCTCCTTAAAAACTTGCCAATTACAAATATAGATTCAATCTCAAACTTCGTCTTGATTTTGAGTGCCAGGAAAAGCAAAACAACATTCCAAATTTCTATCTTAATATCATGGCCTTAATTCAAAAATGGTTTTTATTTTAAATACAATGCCCATCTAAATGGAAATAAAAAAAGAAATCTAAGCAGCAACATGTAATTATTACACATAGTACTTATTTATATGTGGAAGTGTTCCTCAGGATGATATCTAGAATGTACTTGCTCTGTGAGTCTCTTCAGTAATTAAATCAACTTAAACTGACACTAACAAAAGTAAGAGCACTGTATCAGGGGCACACATTTACAATACTGCTAGCCTTAAATGCAGTACAGCAAAAGAAAACATATCAAATAGCACATGCACATCTCACAGAACTCCCAATGAACTCTCAGTGGCTTCTATGCAATGTGCCTTTTCCATAACTGTATTAACAACTACCAAAAAAGAAAAGATGAGATTAAAATCAATGGTACTGAACTGAATTGTTTGAAGCCAGTGCCCCACATGTGGGGAAAAGTGCATTTAGTTCAGCAGCAATACAGCACAGTGTGAAGATATTGTGCTTAGACGCAGATATTCCAGAACTGAAAGATATACAAGGCAAGTCAAGATATAAAACCATAGTACACCGTTAAATAACCTTGAAACATACATATATTGCAGTGTTCAAAGAAAAACATTCATTTTCATTGTACAAGGCTAGGGAGAAATCCTTAAAGTCACCTATTGTAGTTTATGATATAATAAATACATATCTATATAGCATTGTATATACATATATAGAATGTGTGTGTTTATGTGTATCTTTTTTTTTTTTTTTTGCCAAATTATTCTGTTATTCTTTATGGGTCTGCAACTTTCAGGAATGAAAACGCCTATGCACTACAAGTTTCTGTTTCCCCCAACTTAAGAAAAGATATTTATACTAGAAAAGGTCTCAATACCCTCCCCCCAACCCAAAGACTCACTTCAGATATTTTGCTTTACAATTCATCAGAGAATCACAATTAAAGAAATTCTAGAATTTTTTACTGTATCTTTTCACTTTGCCAGCTGTTTCAACAAGCAAATATATTTTAATATTTAAACCAGCTGACACAAATTCTTTAGCAGAGGATATAAACTCTATATTTGACTGATTAAAACAGAGCAAATCAAAACAACAACCAAAAAATCCAGTGATTTACTCTGACTGTAAACAATATATAAAATTTAAATCTCAAATTTCAAAATAAATTAAAGAAAAATTCTACCTTTAGGGCCTATAATACTATAAGATCTGATAATTGATAAGGGGAAAATGTATATGAAAAGTTGCAACATAATTGTCCATTATTTTTGCTAAGAGAAAGTATATCTAACTATACTACCTCTGCCCCTTAAATTTAATAAATTCATAATTTGTTTGCAAATGTTTAAGCAAACTGGCATATCATATTACACAACAGAAAAACATCCATCAAGTTCAGCAAAGAAAACTTATATAAGCCTTTTGTACAGAATTAAAAAAAATCTAAATGGCTATGATTCCTCTATTAGCAGAAACACATAATGCAGTCTTTATAAATCTGCCAAATATATCAATATCTACATAAATAGATACAGATATAGATATGAAACATTAATGGCAGTCTATTTTTGAACAGTGTGTGGGACCAGCAGATTTGTATCAGACCATGGCACGATATGGACCCTGCATCTTTAGGAACTGAATGATGAAAGAAGGGCCCCCAGCAACAATCTGAGGTGGAAGGTGACTGAGTGGACAGTTCTCAATACTCATGATTGAAAGCTTGCTGCAAAGAGCCAGCTCAAAGGGAAGGCTATGCAGGTTGGGGTTGTCATTCAAATACAGTTCTTCTAGGTTCTCCAGTGTACCTGTTCCAAAAAAAAAAAAAAATTCAATTATTTTTTTAAAAAAATTAGTTACTACTAAAAAAATTCAATGGCATGATGCCTGTAAAATAAGGATAATAGTAACTTCTCATAGGATTGCTCTGAATATTAAATAAAATATTAAATGTAAACAAATCCATTACTTGGTAACTGTTGTTTTTATTAGTCTTCTACATACCACTATCAAATAGTACAAATTTTGAAGTTTAAAAATTAGCAACACATGAGGCAATTTTACGCTTTTATATGGACATGATATATTGAATACACATTTCCTCTTATTTTCTTCTCCTAATTTTAAAACTCTCTACAACCACAGATCTTAATCTCTGCTATATGTTCAAATCAACTGGGGGGATTTTGAAAATCCTAATGTCCAGGTCATACTCCATACCAATTCAATCAGAAATCTCTTCCTTTATGGTTGGTTTTCAAGCTTGGAGAGTACGGTATTTTTTTTTTAAATACACATGCTGTATCTCCAGAGATTCTGTTAGGGACAACTTGGCATACGTATTTTTTTTTAACTCCAGAGGTAAATTGATTGTACAGTCAGGGCCTATAATCACTTTCCTGTTATAGACAATGTGATAATGTCTCTTATTAATAAATTTCTCATGTGGAAAGGTTTTTGTTACTTGGTATAAATCTTCACTAAGCCAGTTATCACATATTTGGCAGCAAGCCAAACATCAATTTATAGAATCTTTTAAAAATTTTTCTTAGATGGTCTTAGGATACTCACACTTTCCAGGCAAATGTCTCAAGCAATTGCATCAGGCCAGCTGAATAAACACACTAGAAATAAAAGTGTAAAATTGCCTCATGTGTTGCTAATTTTTAAACTTCAAAATTTGTACTTTTTGATAATGGTATGTAGAAGACTAATAAAAATAACAGCTACTAAGTAATGGATTTGTTTACATTTAATATTTTATTTAATATTCAGAGCAATCCTATGAGAAGTTACTATTATCATCTTTATTTTACAGGAAGGAAACCTGAAATTTAGAAAGTTTCCCTACCTTATCCAAAACCCACAGAGCCAGATTTTGAATTCTCTATTTTACTTCCAAACCATTCTTAACTTCTAATCTATAGTGCCTCTGGGACAGCATGATATAGATGAGAGAACATAATACACAAAATTACTAATTTGGGAGCATCTGAGATCTTGCTTCCTGGCATATGTTGTCAGTTTGGTTCAAATGAACTCATAAAAATTCAAAAGAAAAATAATTACTAATTTGAGAACTACTGTGTGACCTCAATCAATTAACTCTCTTTAAAAAACAAGATTACAAATTGCAATGCCTCAAATTCAAGGTGGTCATGTTGATTATACAAAATAATGGATATGAAAACACTCAGGAAATTCTGAAGTATTCTCAAATATTATTAATCCTAAAACCTGACAAAGAAATGTTCTTTTGACATAAGACATTATTAATCTAAATAAAACAAGCCTGTGTAATTTTTAAATTTGGAAGAAATATAAAATAACTTTCAAATTAGTATGCTAAAACATTCTGAAATACAATATTAACCGAAGAAACCTAACCAAAACCTAACAGCCAACCAACCAACTACGGATGCTTTCTAAAAAATCTTGGGAGCCTTTATAACCTCAGTTGACAAAAACGGTAGATTTGTCATAATTATCTAAAATACTGCATGAACATACAAGAGCAAATTATTAGTACAGAGTCAAGCATCCAAAGGGTTCATACCAATTTCCTCAGGAAGATGAGTAAGTAGGTTCTCTCCAAGGCCTAGATGTGTGAGATTGGTAAGGTGACCAATGCCTCTGGGAAGAGTGGTCAACTGGTTGTTTGTTAAGACTAATTTCTAAAAGATCAACAAATAAAAGATGGTTACATATATATTTCCTACAACTGATGTAAATTTAAAATAATACATCTACTAAATCAATAACGTAAATTAACAGGGAAATTACATTAGATAGGAAAGGAATCCCTCAAGTTTTTTTTTTCCCAAAAATATCATTTGTTAGGGAGACAAAAGCGGATAGGTTACATGAACATAAAACTAATGCTATAACAGGAAAATCTACTCGGTCTAAGAAGTAGATCAAATTCTTAAGAAAAATGTGCAATTTGGAATGCATCCCAAAAATTTTAATCATATAACTGTAAAATCATCAGAATAATGTTTTACCTGTAAATCCTTAAGATAAGCAATTTCATTTGGCAAGGATTCCAATTTGTTCTCCTCTAGATCCAACTCTCTTAACTTCCTAAGGTTTCCAAGACCATGAGGAAGCTTCTTTAGAAGATTGTTTGATAATATTAGAACCTAAAGATAAATTATTGATAGTGTTTGGCAACTCATGAAATGAAATTACATATTACCATTGTGTGGCTTACAATTTATTAAACAATGCTAGTTTTCTAAACACTGAATATTAAAGGTAATGTTCAATTATATAACATAAAACAGTTAACTTACTATTCTAAAGAATTACCAGTTATTGAAAATAAAGATTTAAGTCAAAACTAATGTAAGTAAGGGAAAGAATTTAAATTTAACTAAATTACAAAAAATATGTAAAATTATTAACTATTTGCATGAAGATTCATATAGTTAATAGTATTATGACAGTAAATTACAAAACCCTTACAAACCATTATTTAAAGGAGGTAACAACTGACTTCTAAACTGCCTATACATATCAATCCAAAGTTATTATTTGTGGTATATTTATTACATTGCAAGGCATCTCGCAATATACTAAAGAGAGGGAAAAAAGGTTGAAGAAGATAGTCCTTATTCTCAGAGAAAATACAATGGGGGGTGTGAAGAGGGGGCTGGGTAAGGAGCTAATACTGGGTATGGAAATAGTGAAAAGAGCACTAAATGGAAATATCTACATAAGTTTCTGGCTAATTTTTTATGCCAACTTATTTTCTCCAGAGTAATACTACCCACAATAAAATAAACATATACAGTAAGACCAAGAAAATAATAGCAGTTATCATTTACTGAGTTTACTATTTGCAGGGCACTATAATAAATGCATTATGTGCATTATCACATTTAATACAAACTACAACCTTATGAGGAAAATGCTATGTATGATAATATCCCCATTTCACAATTGAGGAAACGGAAGCTTCGGCAGGTTAAATCCGTAAAAAAAGAGAAACAAAAGTGGAACTGTACCCAGATGTTTTGCCTCAAAGCTCATCTTTCAACCATTATACCATACTACTTCAAATTACTGAATAAAATAAATTAGATTTTTTTAAAACATGAATACAGAGGAAATTTTAAAATATATATATTTACTATTAGTAGGCTTTTTCATCAAAAGAATGAAAATTCTAGGGACTCAGAGGCAGGAGAAATCATACTTGACTAAGGAGGTGACAGTAAAATGGATTTTTAATTATGGAAAAGAATTTAGAAGGAAAAATTAAGGGAATGAGAACAGGGCATTATATATTAAGAACAGTAAGACTAAATGTATGGAGCTAGAAATATGCACGTTTCCAACAAAGAAAATAATCTATTTAACTAGTAAAGAGTAAATGGGTAATTAGAATGGAAAAGTAGGCCTGAATCATATGAAGGGTTCTGAATGACAGTCGGAGGAATCCACAGTCATTCTGATAGACAACAGTGCAGAGTTCTTAAACAATTAAAGGAAAAAATATGCTCTAAAAGGTGCCAAGTTTTAGAGACGTTTTATTTCAAAGATACTTTATAGCACTCAAACCTACCAACTTTCAGTGGGCAAGAGTAATTCAGCAGAGCCCAGATTAAGTCAACACCTCATCATCCTAGTAGGAGTGTATGTTTAAGAGAGCTCTAACATTTCTAGTTATAATCTTCATCCAAATAGAAACTGCTTGTATTAATTGGAAACTTTATAAGTGAGATAACTGTTGGAAGGATCTAAGGAGTTCTAAATGCTCTTTTATTCTCACCTCTAGAGAAACGAGACCAGACACATCCTCAGGAATCTTTGTGAGCTGATTAGTGGCTAAATTCAATTCTACCATACTGGTCCAAGTTCCAAAATCCAAGGGAAGTGATGTTAACTGATTGTCCTGGTGAAGACAAATAGAAGCATCTAAAGTATAACCACAAAAACAAAACTCCACATATACCTCCTGATGGAAAGAGAATTCTTAATTAAACAGGAAACCTTATTCCCTCTCTGATATCAAAGGAGGGGAGGGGAAGGGAAGGGAAGGGAAGGGAAGGGAAGGGAAGGGAAGGGAAGGGAAGGGAAACTAAACTCTAAGCCTCCAAAGTTTTTCCTACAGTAATTAGGTTTTTATTTTGAGATTAAATTGGAAGTTTGTTCCTTATATGATTATCGATATTGAATACAGGAAAATACAACATACAGACCAACACTTGATATTTCAAAGGTCCCAGTGATAAATATGATGATTTCCCCATTTCACAATTATGTACAGAAATCACTGAATAAAAAGTGGATGCTCATGAGCACAACGGAAGAATAAACATCTATTTACAGCCTACAAGGAAACCAGATAAGCTTAGCAATTCTAGAGATGCTAAGCAATAAAGTGCAAGAGGAAAAAAGCCTTAATAAGACAGCAAACTAAATCATTCAATTATCCACAATTTTACTTTAAAAGTCTGTAAGATGGTAAAGATGGTGAAAATATATTGATCATTGAATAAAAACAGACGATAAAATAGTGTGATCCTAATTTTGTTTAAAAATTAGATTCAGCTATACACAGAAAAAAAAAAAGAGAAATATATGCCAGTGATTCACTATTTCTTTTTCCGGCTTCCTCATATTTGTTTACAAAACACATTTTTGTTTATAAAACACAATAACAGCTGAACACACTGTTGTGTGTTAGGGGGTATTGGTATTGTGAAAGGACCATCAGTACCCCAGTTGGGTATCAATGATATATGCCAATATGTTAACAGTGATGCTTTGATACCTTTCATTGGTGGGATTATTTTGTCTTTCTTGTTAATCTGTATTTTTAAATTTTTCTGCAATGTCTCATTTTACAAAAATCATCCATAAGAGAAATCTCAAGTAGTAAACATCTATTTGAAAACCAAGTTTTTCCTTTTTTATAATATTTTAACTTATTACCTATGTATTTTATAATATTTAAATTATCTATGCCCAAACTGATAGTTAATAGTATGATAAAACGTTTTCATTAAAAACATTTACTACTGGTGCTTATACGAGGAGGAATATATCAGGCTTCATTTGACTTCAAGAAAAAGTTTTAAACATTTGTCATGATTTTGAAGAAACATTAAGACAAAGCTCTATGCAGTTTTATTATTTCACTAAAAACAGCAAGCCTTTCCAAGCTAACATATTACAATAACATCACATCTATATAAATGTATAACCAAATGCAAAAATGAATGAACACCTGAGCTGCTGTGTTCCAAGCCTCTTATTACAAACTGAACATTATGTTAATGATATTACCACTGCCAAATCTCATATAACCAGACTGATTAACAATGAATTTTACACTTGTTTCAGATTATAAGATTATTTTGAATTTCCACTAGGTCACTTAGTATATACTTCCAAAGAATTACGATAAAAAGATACATATATTTATGAACAAGTATAGATAGAAGCAAGAAAATATACATTTAGACTGTAGTTTAAAGAACCACAATTATGTTGAAATGGTTCAGCAAAGAGAAAAGGATGTATTATGATAAAACAGAAATAACACTATACCTGGGAGCAGGAAATATAGGTTTCCTGAATTCCTATCTCAGCCATGAATTAGTAGCTATGTGGCCAATTTACTTACCACCTCACTAAAAATTAAATCACTGAACAAATCATTTTTTCATTTCTTTCCTCCTTTTGCAATAAACTTCTTTTTCCTTATTACAAATGTAAAACTCATTCACTGTACAGAATATAGGTAAGCAAAAAGAAACTAAAGATACACATAAATAATTCTGATATTCAAAGATAAACAGTATATTTTGGTAAACACTGATGACAGACACACACACACACACACACACACACACACACATGCATATAAATCTATAGATATTTAACATATATGAGTAATTAAGCACATTCAAAACAGCTTTTTAAAAACTATGTGTGGAAAAAAATCTCACATGCTTTAACTTTTTCCAACTTAAACTGAGAATATTTCAACTGGTATTTAACATTCTTCTAAATTAGAGTATTTTTAATGGCTTCATTGAAGATATACAGGCATACCTGAGAGATATTGTGGGTGTGGTTCCAAACCACAATAAAGCAAATATCTCAATAAAGTGAGTTACCCGAATTTTTTGGTTTCCCAGTGCATATAAAAGTTATGTTTACATGACACTGTAGTCTATTAAGTGTGTTAATAGCATTATGCCTAAAAAAAAAGTACATACTTTAATTTAAAAATACTTTAATGCTAAAAAAGTGCTAACCATCATCTGAGCCTGTAGAGAGTCGTAATCTTTTTGCTAGTGGAGGGTCTTGCCTGGATGTTGATGGCTGCTGGCTGATCATGGTGTTGGTTGCTGAAGGCTGGGGTGGCTGTGGCAATTTCTTAAAATAAGACAACAATGAAGTTTGCCACATCAATTGACTCCCCCTTTCACAAATGATCTCGCTGTAGCATGTGACACTGTTTGATAGATAGCATTTTACCAACAACTTCTTTCAAAACTGGAGTCAATCTTCTCAAACCCTGGTATTGCTTTATCAACTTGTGTATGTAATATCTTAAATTCTTTGTTGTCATTTCAATAACCTTCACAGCATCTTCACCAGGAGGAGATTCCCTCTCAAAAACACACTTTCTGGGCCGGCCGAGTGGAGCGATGGTTAAGAACTGGCTTGGGACGCCAGAGGGCCCTGGTTCGGATCCCACATATGAGGGCCAGTGACACTGAAGAACAAAAGGACAGCAACTTGTCTGTTCCCCTTCCCCCAATTTCCCAGCGCTGTTCCCATCCCCCAATTCCCCCATAAAAATCTTTAAAAAACCCCACACTTTCTTTGCTCATCCATAAGAGGCAACTTCTCATCCATTAGTTTAATCATGAGATCACAGAAATTCAGTCCCATCTTCAGGCTCCACTTCTAATTCTAGTTCTCTTGCTATTTCCACCACATCTGCAGTTACTTCCTCCACTGAAGTCTTGACCCCTAAAAGTCATCCATGAGGGTTGAGTCCATGAGGGAATCAACTTCTTCCAAACTCCTGTTAATGTTGATATTTTTTTAACCTCTTCCCATGAATCACAAATGTTTTGTTTTTTTTTTTAAGATTTTATTGGGGAATTGGGGGAGGGGAACAGCGCTGGGGAATTGGGGAAGGGGAACAGACAAGTTGCTGTCCTTTGGTTCTTCAGCATAGTTGCAGAGGACATCATTTCACTGGCCCATGTTGGTATTATCATTGTGCTCTTCCTGGGTGAGGCAGATCGGTCACCACTCACAGCGGCTCTTGGCAGCTCACGCTGGCGGCCGGCTGCTTGCGGTAGCTTATGGGAGCCCACTGCAGCTCCACTGCACCCTAAGCCCGACGGCGACTCTCAGCAGCCCAGCTCCAGGTCGAGAGCCGTTGTTCACAATCTTAGCTGTAGAGGGCGCAGCGTCACTGGCCTTCATGTGGGATCCGAACCAGAGCCCTGCTGCTCAGAGCTGGCGTCCCAAGCCAACTCTTAACTAACGCGCCAGTCGGCCGGCCCACAAATGTTCTTAATGGTATCTAGAATGGTGAATCCTTTCCAGAAGGTTTTCAATTTATTTTGCCCAGATCCATCAGAGGAATCATGATGTATGTTTGTTCCATGGGCTGCATAGTGAATGTTGTGTTAGCAGGCATGAAAACATTAATCTCACTGTACCTCTCCATCAGAGTTCTTGAGTGAACAGATGTATAGTCAATGAGCAGTAATATTTTAAAAGGTTATCTTTTTTCCTGAGCAGTAGGTCTCAACAGTGGGCTTAAAAAATTCAGTACATGGTTATGTTGTAAACAGATGTGCTGTCATCCAGGCTTTGTTGTTCCATTTATAGAGCACAGGCAGAGCAGATTTAGCATAATTCTTAAGGACTGTAGGATTTTTTAGAATGGCAAATGAGCATTGGCTTCAACTTGAAGTCACCAGCTGCATTAGTCCCTAATGAGAAAGTCAGCCTGTCCTTTGAAGCTTTAAAGCCAGGAATTGACTTCTCTATAGCTATGTAAATCCTAGAGGGCATCTTCTAATATAAGCTGTTTTATCTACATTGAAAATCTGTTATTTAATGTAGCCACCTTCATGAATTATCCTAGCTAGATCTTCATGAACCAACCTCTGCTAGCTTCAGACTTTTCTTCTGTAGCCTCTTCACCTCTCTCACCCTTCACAGAATTGAAGAGAGTTATTAGGGCCTTGCTCTGGATTAGGCTTTGGCTTAAGGGAATGTTGTGGCTGATCTGATCTATCCAGACCACTAAAACTTTCTCCGTATCAACAGTACGGCTGTTTCTTTTCTTATTATTCATATATGTTCACTGGAAGAGCACTTTTAATTTCAAGAACTTTTCCTTTGCATTCACAACTCAGCTAACTACTGCAAGTGGCCTTGCTCTGGCCTATCTTGGCTTTCAACAAGCCTTCCTCCCTAAGCTTAATCATTTCTAGCTTTTCATTTAAAGTAAGAGATGTACGACTCTTCTTTCACTTGAATAGTTACTTGCCATTGAAGGGTTATTAACTGGCTTAATTTCAATATTGTTGTGTCTCAGGAATAGGGAGGCCCGAGGAGAGGGAAAGAGATGGGGGAACAGCAGGTCAGTGGAGCAATCAGAACACACAGCATTCATCAATTAAGTTCACCGTCTTATACGGGTGTGATTTGTGGTGCCCCAAAACAATTACAATAGTAACATCAAAGATAACTGATTACAGATCACCATAACAAATACAGTAATAATTTAAAAGTCTGAAATATTGCGAGAATTACAAAAATGTGACACAGAGACGTAAGTGAGCAAATGCTTGCTGCTGGGAAAATGTCACCAATAGATTTCTTCAATGCAGGGTTGCCACAAACCTTCAATTTGTAAAAAACCCATTATCTGCGAAGTGCAATGAAGCAAAGCGCAATAAAATGAGGTCTGCCTACAGTACTTTTAAAAAATGAAATCTCTTTTAATATTAATATGTTGGTACCAATTAAATAGAAAGCTTTGCAATAAATATCCCTACAACTATGCTTTTATGCACATTCGTGGCTATTTCTTTAGGACACGTTTCCAAGGTATTTGTTATCTAATACCAATTGCCCTGATGTATCCTTATTATCAGTTTAGACCCTGTCCGCAAGAAACAAGCACCCCTTCTCCACACTTGATAGAGAAAACATAAATATTAGAAGTGCTAGTAATAATAGCTTTTCCCCACTAATACAAACAGTGGCTTACCTTCATATTCAGCTTACTTAATACTTTCGCTCTGGAGAAAATTCCAAATGGGATTTTATTGATTCGATTGTGTTCCATGTTGAGGGAATAGATGGTGGAAAACTGGGACGGACCGCCTACTGGATATAACTGGAAGCAATTTCTAGCTAAGGTCAAACTATTCAGTTTCACAAGACTTGATAGAAGACTCTGTAAAAAATGAAATAAGCATAAGAATTAGAACTCTAATAAGACTTATTCTGTCAAGTATAAAGCAGCAGTCCCACATAATTGCTGCCTTGCAGAAATTTAGAGCCGACGTAGTCGGATTTTCAGATTTTGCAAGAGACAGAAAATTCATTTACTTATATGAAATCTCCTGATTTTTATTCTTTGGCTAAATTTATTTAAAACACTCTATAAAGAAAATATGTCTGTGGGTAAGAGGTGCCTCATGAGTGGCCAGTGTGAGACCTCGATAGAGCAGAAATTTTGGTATTGGACAGTCCTGGGTCTGAGTCCTTGCTCTGCCATTTGCTGTGTAACCAATCCTTTCCAAGTCTTAGTTAAGCACCTATCTCTAAATTATTATTAACATAATGCCTGGCACAGAGTAATCTGTTAATCAGTAATTTAATGGTTCCTTTTAGGAATAATAAATTCAGAAGATGATAATACTTCCTGATATTGTATAATACACTGCTTTTCCATATGGTAAAGTTTCTGAGGAAATAAGCATCTATCAAGTAAGTATTTATTTAGCACATAACCCTATATCCCCTTAATTCAGCCTCCTACCACGTAACCACGGTGCTAGGTGTTCAGGTTTTATAAAAGAATCTCTGCCGTTAAGACTAAACCCTATTTAGAGAAATAAAGCACAAAGATAGGAAAAAGAAAATAATATATAACTGCATATATTCAACAATAAATTATATAAAATAGGCTCTTGCTATTCAAAGTCTGGTTCAAGGAAGAACAAGTCAGCATCCCCTGGAAGCTTGTTAGAAATGCAGTCTTAGGCCCCACTCCTATAGAATCAAAATATGAATGCTAAAATTCCCAGGTGATCTGTATGCTCATTAATGTTTGAGAAACACTGGTATAGGCTACAAAATAGTTTTGAATCCTGGATGTTTTAGTAGCTTGTGACTTTGGCAAGCTGTTTTTCTGAACCTCAGTTTATTCATTTGTAAATGATGATGACTTAATTTTATAGGTTGCAGTGAAGACTTTTTAAAGAAATAAAATACATATATAGCTTTACAATATCTAGAATATAATAAGTACTTGCATTTAAGTCCCTTCTCTACTTAAAGTCAAAGAAACAAAGAAATACTGGAATAACTGGAAAAACAGGAAGGAGGGTAAGAGTGAGCTAGATGCTGAAGGATGAAAAAAAATGAAATATTCAGAAGTAGAAGAAAACACTCTGGATTCAAATAAAAGCCCAAGTAGGGAGAAAACAAGAAGTGTGAAGTATGTGTCTATGTGCGTGTCTGTATGTGTGTCTGTGTGCTTTAAACAATGTTCAAATTCCAGCTGTCCACCATGAGGAAATTGAAGACTCAATACAGGAGGTGTCAGTTGATTGGCAAGGCCAGCTGAAGGAATGAAGTAACTATATAATTAAAGGTGCAATTATATGGCAAATTGAAACTTGTTCTTTATACTGAATGTTAAGAAGCTACTTAACATCTGTCTACTGGTGTACAAGGACAAAAGGAAGAGCAGAGCAAAGAGTGATGAGAAAGCTCTGCATGGCAATCAATTCAGGAAAAATGTCTGTATCCTACTTTACTGAAAAATAAAGGAGTTTTATTGAGTCTCATGGCAAAGATGTTATTATTATAGCTGACTTACTTTACTGAATTGACTTTCTTCTATTAAAAAATGTTAATACCTGAGGATATTTTAAAAAGGACAACAAGAAGGCAGCTCTCCAACCTTTCATTCTTAGGTCATATTGTGAATCTTTGGGGTTGTTTAGAGTCAGACACATCTGGGTTCCCATCTTAGATCTTCCACTTATCAGTTTTTGTGACCTTTGGTGAATTAATTAGATAATCAGTGTATCTCTCATCACATTCCTAGAAAAATATGTAAGGCAATAAATTTGGCCAAAAAATTAACTTTTCTTATGTCTTATGTCCCTATCTATTTGATAAGAATACTCCAATAATTAGGATTATAGTGAAGATTTAAATGAGGTAATATGTATAGAGCTCCTAACCTTATGCCTTGAGCATATGTGCTTAAATTTATTAAGTTCCTTTTCCTTATATATATATGTCTACATTAAAACTAGTCCATTTTCAGAGTCTTCAAATGAAAAAGTATATAGTCATCCTGTCAGCTCTGATTTCAGCAATATGAGCCCCAACTGAAAATCACTTTACTGATCTTTCTTGCTTAACCCAGCCTGAATGTCTAGAGTAAGAGCTGTCTAATGGATTTTAATGTTTTCCTTATTGTGCTTGTTATAAATGCAGATAATTAGACACATGCATTAAGAAAATGCTCTTCCAAAGCACATATGCTATCTTTAAATAAGGTTTAATGCTTTCTCATATTTGGACAAGGCCAATCAAGGGTTTCCCCCCATATCTTCTCTATCTGAAAACAGTCAATTTAAATACACACACACACACACACACACACACACACACACACACAGAGCCCTTCTTCCACAACCAGAGTGAAGAGAACTGTCCTCTTTATTATTCCTATCAAAAATAAATCCTGACTTATTTCACTCACAAAATATTATATATAAACGTACTTATCACAATGTCTGTATCCTAAATGGTACCCAATAATTATTAGTTTCCCTTCACTGAAAGTAAGACTGGATATATAAATAAATTTAAGTTTCTAACTTTGAAAAATTTGATATACACCCAGTCTTTATATTTAGGCACAGCGACATTGTAAAATCAGTCAATCTTACTTAAGCTCACAAATTACACCCTAAAAGCATCCCAACAAGGTCTAATTAATGTGCTAATTGTTTGTCTTACTCTGGATATGAATCACTGTTAGAAAAAGGGATGATGACATGAAACAGTAGAACCTCACCCATTTTGATCATTCTAAATTACTATCACAGAAAGGCAAAAACCCAGACAGTTGAGTTGTCAGGGCTCTATCTACAATCTGTGGATTCTATTCCTTATCCCACTTAAACTGCTACTAACAACAGTACTCTGCCACAGGTGAGATACTGTCATGGTAGTTTAAGTGAACTGGTCCAGACTGGAAACTACAATCCTGGGAAACTCATTTTTGTACTCTGACCAAGCTGTTTTCTGAAACCCCAAACACCCAGATTGATAGGAGCCAAATTAATAGGTGCTATTTTATACCTGTATAAGAAATAAAGAGCCAAATCAATTGAATAAATTTATTTTATAAACTGCTACAAACCAATAGTTTCATCTACTCCAATTTTTCTTTATGAATCAAAGCATAAATCTGAAAAACATTTATCCAAAGCACCTTTATTCTTAATTCAAACACACACACATGGGAAAACTAGCAATAGTCTAAACATATAGGACCACTTACACTAGACACTTTTAATCGTTAGAACAAAAAATATTTTGCAAAAGCTCAATCAATCCATAAGTCCACAATTCCATTCTATTATGTCAGAATACTACAATAAGATATCATGCATGAATAACCATTAAGTAAACATACAAGTTGTTGGGTATGCTAAAATAGTAGGTAGCAAAAGAAGGAAAGGCAAGAGTGAAAAATTAATCAACAAAGTTGAGAAAGAATTTAAAAAACAAAAGACTTATTGCATTTTGCCCAATTAATCTCTAAGCAAAACAAGTGAAAATATTTTTCTAATAGAACCAACAAAACCCAAATTAAAAATAATGTGTTAAAAATAACAGATTTTGGTGACTGAGATGCTAAACGGCTTTGATATTATTGGATAAACAGGGTAATAACTTGGGCCACTGGAGTGTTGTAGCTAATAATCAGGATAATTAATAGTGTGTTCTATGTAGTGCATTCTTTCATTTATCATCTTTCTACAGTACCTTTGTTTAATAACTGAACGGGGTGGGGTAGTTGAATTTTAAAACCAGCCATACAACTTTTCCTTAATAGCTTTTATTGCCAGTTCTCAAAATGAAAAAGATTTATGTGGAGCTAGAGGGGAATGTAGCACACCAATTTTCAACCCTTGAAAGGTCTCTTCCTTCTGCATATCAAAAATAAAATTAGTATGTTCCTATAATCATACCTATTCTTTCTTCTTTGGAATTTTTATCTTAGTGGTGCCTATATATTCATAGCATACTCATTTTAGGCAATCTCAATCATCAAATGATTTACCCAGCTGTAAAGACTTGCTAGTTTCCCCTTCATTATCTTGCAGGCTTGTTTCAAGCATTTACCCTAATCCACTTCTTACCTCTGGTAAAGTAGAAATGTTATTGTTCTCTAAATTTAATTCTTCAAGTGCACTGCATTTTGCCAGTGATCTGGGTATTGCTGACAGTCTGTTATATCTCAGACCAAGACGATTTAAACTGGACAGATTTCCTGTGAACACAAAATAAAAGAATTTATTTTCTTTAAATATGATAAGCCTCTTGCTGTCCTAGGCTATCAACCAAATATTTATGAATTACTGTGAAACATTATTTCAGCACAATCCTTGACTTCTGGTACCAAGGAACAGCACACTACATTTTGTCAATTAGGAAGAAATTGAAACCACTTTTGTGGCCATCTGTCTTACAGGAATAATAAAATACACAGCTATAAGTCAATTTTAAAAATGAATTATTAGAAAGTGCTGGCATACTTTAATAACAAATTAACCTTTAGATAAAGCCTAATAACATCAACTACCGTATTTCCCCATGTATAAGACGCACCTTTGTTTTCGAAAAATTTGGGGTCTAAAAACTGGGTGTGTCTTATACAGTGGTTGTAGATTTCAAATGCCATAGAGGGAACTGAGGACGAGGCAATATGTGAAGACAGTGATTCGTCATCAGACACAGATGACAAGCTAATGGTTGGGAGTTTTGACAGTGATGAGGAGTTGTATAAATTTTATGATGACTAAAACGTGAGTTCAATAACATTATGTAATACTTTTTTTTTTTTTCAAATTTCGGGCCCCAAAATTAAGGTGCATCTTATACATGGGAGCATCTTATACATGGGGAAATACGGTAGTATATATTTTAAATTTATATAGCTATCCCATTTGTATCTATGTGATGATGATCCAACATGAAACAAGTGGTTATATATAAAAAATGTACATGTAATTTTGAAGAAATTTCCAAATTTCTAAAATGGTATTATTTAAAATATGATACACATTTTATGATATGAAAAAGGTCCAATATTTTCCATGAGTTTAAATATAAACATTCCAAAATTTTCTGAAAAGTTGACCAGATGGTAAAAATAATTTCTCAAAATTATTTTTAAAGTTACAAAGAAAAGTGGAAATTACAGTCTTATTATCTAAGCATATACAAGCTTGAGCACAGATTAGCCACCACTGAATACATAAAAAAGAGCAGAAAAACAGGCATTTTCTAGTTTTATTGCCAAGACTACATATATGGCAAGCTACAGAGAGGTAAGTTACATGGATGAATATGGTATCTGCTATCATAAAAGGTTTAAATCAAATTTAATTTCCCAAACAAAACACATTAGAAAATAGCACTTTGAAAGTGCCCCAAAATAAATAAATAAACAGTGATGAAAATATAGTATTTCTTTGTCATGACTAGTTAATTTCTTTTCTGACTTCAAATTACAACGGTTGCTATAACATTTTTAGATGGCCAAGGTTTAAATGTCAAATTAGCCTCTGGTTTAAAATTAAACAATATTACTAGTGTTAGAAACTATAGAAGTCGATGTCTGTGTCACACAATATTTTGATGCCTGTCAACTTTCAGCAACCTTCTGATGTTTATCTATTTCTTTCTTTTTCCTTTGTCTCGTTTTCAAAAAGTTGTTGCATGAGTAACTTTCTTAGATGCAAAGTTACTACAATGCTTACAGAAAGCATTTATTAGCCTGTAGCATAAGTTAAGTCTTGAAACCCTAGGAGGGCTGTCACTATGCCTCATAACCCTCATCTACAATAGTTATCACTTGTCTGCATATTCCTCTGTTGCTAAAGAAATCAGTGATTAAAGTTATAGGAAATGACTAAACGGAGTTAATTTTCACCCTTTACATTTTCAAGGTAAGAATTAGTCATTTATAATGAATATACTCTGATAATTCTATACCATAAGTCTAGCCAACTATAATGCAAAAAATTTTTAAAAAGAAAGAAAAACTTAGCTACCATTTTAATTCCTACAATTAGAACTATTCCAAAGGTATGCTATGCTTATTTCATTATTTTCTTATAATAGTGTTTGGAAGCTGAGCCAAGAATTTGATGGTTCTGATTAAGTAAGATTCTAATCAGCAGAAAACTGAATACAAAAGCAACAAAAACTACCACTTAGCAAAGACAACTTAATTTTGTCTTTAAAGTGTTTTCTACATTAACTAAGGATGCTTCATTGGTGCCTTTCAGATGACACTCTAATGGGATGTCAATTTTGGGGGGAAAAATAAAAACAAGCAGAGGACTGGGTAACTTTCCAAAGCTCCAGAGAATTTCGAGATTAAAAATTAAGGGCAAGAATAAAATTTACTATTGCTATCACTGTACTATGACATTGAATATGATACAAATGTTACTTAAAAGTTGGGTTGGCAGAAAATAATGTGCTTTATGACTAACTATATTAATTATAGTTCTATTTCCAATGGCTATAAATAGGGACAACCTATATGTTCAAGGATAGATTAATAATTATTTAGCTTGGAGGCATCACAGGTGTAACAGAAAATACAAAGGATTTTATATTATCTATGTGGCCCTGGACAAGTTCCTTACTAATCCATCAGTGGGGATAATGCCTAATACCTGACAAGGTTGCTCTAAGGGTTAAATATGTGTGGAAGATACTTAGCACAATGGCTGATACATAACAGATATTCAAAACATGATTTTATTCTAATGGTGTGTCTATATTCTGGTATATTCTGTACCTATTAAGATTATGATACAAAAATTTTTAAGAGAGGACTAAGTTACAACATTAAGTGAAAACTGCAAGATAAAACTATATTTTGTATGATCTCAACAATGTAAAAATCACATGCATGCAAAAAGACTGGAAAGAAACCACATCAAAACTAAGAGTTATCTGTGCAATGGTAGAATTATGGAGGATTAAAATATTTTTCTTTGAACTTGTCTACATTTTTCCTACTTTTCTATAGTTTTATAATTTTGAAACTTCCTTTTGATAAAGAAAAATCTAATTCTCAAGTTATTTTAATTTTAAACATTGCGATATTTTTCTACCATCCTTTCTTTTGAATGAATGTTTTACATTATGGAGATGTTTTTTACTAATGTAAAACATACTAAGATGTTTGGACACTTTACATTGTGAGGCTCATCTTTTCCATAAAATGAGGATAGGAGCTAAATTGTGGGAAAAACAGAGCATGCTGGTTTGAAGTTTTAAATAGGCATCCTGATAAAAAAAGACAAAAGATGAGAAAGATACCCAAGAAGCAGCAATAAGAGCCATCTGAGAGTAATCACCATGGACTTTGGCATAAAATATGTGAAGTGACTTGTTGAAGTCACCCACTAGTTAGTGGTAGAGCTAGATTCAAGCTCAGTTGGCTCCTTATCAAGTAATCGTTTTTCAAGGTCTTCATTGACTTTACTCCAGTTAGCTTGTTTTATTCTGACACAGAAGAAAAATATGTTTATTCTTACTTCATGCTGTTTGACTGTCCATGCTGTTGTGTTCATGGAATATATTTTTATTCCATACTAAGTCCAACACATTTGTTCAGGAAGCTTTCCCTGGACATTCTATCAAGATCTAATTGATCTCCCTATAAATTGGTCTCTTGGCAGCATACTGTTTTCACCATAAACTGGCATTTAACTATATTTGCTCTTAAGTTGTTAGTTGTTGCATGGATTAGTTAGCTCCCCCAACAGACTTTGAAAACTCTTTTGCTATGTATTTCTATCTCCCTATAGAATTTGTTTTACTGCTAAGCACACAACAGACATTCATTCATACTTTCTTAATAATTACAGATGCTAAAACATTTCAGTAGCCTTCCTTTCTAAAATGGCATGTCTATGAAACATAGACTTTACTAAACATGATTTTAAAATATACATCAGATTTTCCAGGTCTATCTCAATACAAATTAATTCTTCTACAAATATTTGCAATAATTTTATTCTACGATACCCAACTTCTAAGCAGCCCAATCTAAGATATCAGCCGTAAACAAAAAACAATTCCAACTCTGCATTCATCCACCCCACCAAATAATTTTTAGATTACAAAATATATGAATGCATCTTACTCTCTTCCCAGACAACCTGGTTTTTAGTCTAATACATACGTATTGAGATCTTTCTCTAAGCATTTACGTACACATACAAATATGTTTGAGTTTTTAATATACATGGGATCACTCTATATGCTTTCCCCTCCCTATAACAGGTCATAGTAAAGACTGATAAATGATAAACCTCATTTTATTTAACCTCTGTAAAGTATTCCATGATGTGTTTGTACCATTATCTCTTTAATCATTTCCCAATTTGATGGCATTTATTTCTAACTTTTAAAAAGGAATTCTGTAATGAACAACCTTATACACATATATCTTTGTATACATGTGAAAGTATTTCTGATGTATGAGAAGATATGGATATTTTAAATATTGACAGATAGTACCACAAGGTTATATCAATTTCATTCGTACCAAAGCTGAAGGACAGTGCCTATTTACTCACATTCTTTCAAAATGTGAAGGAGGAAAGATATCAGTAATTTATTTCTTGCCTATTCCATGCCCATGCCACTATAGCTACAGCAAGCCTGGTAAAAGTAGAAATTTTCCTACAAGCAGTGATAATCGCTGACTATAAAGAACTTCAAAATGTTTTGCAAGTTTTAATTTGCTGTGCATGAAGTTGAAGATAAAAGAGGCAATCAACCTTAAAAAAAAAACTGGAAGTAAATTAGACTAACCCTTTCTCTCCTTCATACCACTGCTTTCCCTATGGAAGAAAAAAGCTGTTTCACTGTAACAAAATGGCTGAAGCATTCACCAAGGGGTCTTTCAAATCTGCCAGAAGAGGAAAGGGCTTGTGAATAGTGGAAAGTCCCCATAATGTTGCTCCATCAACTGACATGCCTCATTCAATCACTGTTTACAGTAGAACAGTAGACAAATATAACATTTTAACCATTTTTTATTCTCACTGAAACCTAAAAGCCTTCTCTGGTAACAAAGATTAGTATGGTAACCAAATTCTAAATGCTTATCAACTCAAAAACACAGTAAATAGAACCAGATTCCTGTAACTTCTCTCCCAAAGACAAAATAACTTTAAATTTCTCACTTTTAAAATCAGGTTTCTAGAATTTAAATATTACACAATGAAAATGGTGGTG